ATGTGCTACCCAGTATTGTTAGTAGTAACCACACATGTATGAGTAACACAGTAATATATTCAGATAGCATGGGAATAAATCTAGGATCACTTATGCATACCTGTTTGAGTGAACATATCCAAAATAATTGTATGCCAAATGCCCCATTTAATTATATAGTCAATAGAATGGTAAATAACCAAAACAGTTATACTAAATACACAACTCTTGTGTTATTCATTGGGAATAGTTTAAGTATCACTAAAAATGACTTGATATTCTTATTTAATTCTGTCTCGAATATGAGAATTAAAAAATTTATTATATGTACATTGCCTTATTCAAAGTCATTATCCAAGAATAGAAATAATAATATTTTTAGACTTAACACTCTTATATACAACATGAGCTGTTATAATAGCAATATTCATTGTTTTGATATAAATAAATTTGTAAAAATTTTACATTGACTAAAAATACTTTGTATTTGTCACATTTTGATAAAAGACATATAGCTACTTTGTTAGCTCATAATATACACAATCCTGTTATAAGTAGTATAACGGGTACTTATCCTGACTGCACAGTTTTTAGTAGTTTTACTAATGTTTCTGTGCAAGAATCTTTAAACTTAAGTTACAGACAAAGAGAAAGCCATCACAACTAAATTTATTACATCAAAATATTCAAGGCTTTCTTGGCAAAGAATTAGAGATAGAATTATTTATAAGTAAATTTAATATTGACATTGTATGCCTCACAGAGCATTGGTTAAAACAGTCCAACATGTTATTTCAGTTACCAAATTATGAAATATTGAGTACTTTTACACGGCAAATTTCAATTAGAGGGGGTTCAATTATTTTATTAAAAAATAACATTAAAGGGAAAGAACGTAAAGATATTGTAGCACTTTCAAATGAATGCATTATAGAATTATCATGTGCAGAATTAGAGAAACACATAATTATATGTGTGTATAGGCCTCCTAACTCAGACTATGAAAAGTTTGAGTCCACCATGGAAGATGTACTGAAGTTAGCATTCAAAAGTAACAAATTTATTTTGGTATGTGGGGATTTCAATATTGATCTTCTTGTTGATAATCCTGTGAGTAATAAAATTAGAAACCTTTTTAAAAGTTTTGATCTTGATCATATTTTCTTTGAACCTACTAGGATTACATCCACTACGGCAACATGTATTGATAATATATATTGTAATTTTAGTATTTTAAATAAATCGATTATAAATAGATTGCCGTCAGACCATTGTGGACAAATAGCAACATTCGCATGTAATGAAAAAAAATGAGATTATGTATAAGTTCTGCAGACCAACAACAGCATTTAAATTACAGAATTTTAAAAACAGATTAAATGGAAGTTTACCGTTTTTGATATTTGATAATATTGATCCAAATATATCATATAATCGTTTTTTCAATATAATAAAAAATCATTTTGATAAAAATTTTACAGTAAAGAAACTTAAAGTCAGTAATTCTAAGTACGCTGAATGGTCTACATTAGGTATCAATATAAGTAGGGAAAATATGTATCAATTATATGATATTAGATCCTATTTGCGTGATCCTATATTCGATGAATATGTCAAAAATTATTCAAAGTTATTCAAAAAAGTATGTAAGGTCGCCAAGGCACTTCATTTAAAGAATAAAATTAAGTTTTCTAAAAATAAAATAAAAACTACCTGGAATATAATAAATACAGAAACAGGTAACATTAAGTCGTGCCAGTCAGAATATGAGTTAAAAGCAGAAAATGGCGTTATTATTGATAATAAAGAACTAGTTGCTCAAACTTTTGATAATTTCTTTTCAACAATACCTCTCAAAGCTACGGAAAATTTAAACTCATCACCTAGTTTAGCTGAAACATTATTAAAAAATACCATAAATCCTTGCGTTCATGACTTTACTTTTCATCATATCAGTTGCTCCTGTGTAATAAAAACGTTCAACGCTCTCAATCTAAAAGGAACTGAGGATATCTGGGGTATGTCAGTTAGAGTAATGAAAACTGTAATAAGTGAAGTTGCTTCACATTTGACTGAAATATTTAATATGAGCATTGATCAAGGTATTTTTCCAGATCTAATGAAAGTGAGTAAAATAATACCGCTATTTAAATCCGGTGACAAAGACAATATATCAAATTTTAGACCTATCTCAATTTTACCAGTATTTAGTAAGATTTTTGAAAAGATACTACTTACACAAATGTTAGCTCATTTTAATACACATGATTTATTTCATAAACAGCAATTCGGATTTATGAGTGGACGGTCTACTACTGATGCAGGCATTAACTTAATACAAAGTATTTTCGGTGCCTGGGAAGATTCACAGGATGCCATTGGTGTCTTCTGTGATCTCTCTAAAGCGTTTGATTGCGTTGACCATAGGATATTATTACGCAAACTAGAACATTATGGAATTAGAGAAAAGTCCTCAGAACTCATTGGATCATATTTGCGCGATAGAATTCAAGTGGTAGACATTAAAGGAAGTAAGTCCAAGGGGTCATTTATAAAAATGGGTGTACCCCAGGGTTCTATACTTGGCCCATTTCTTTTTCTTGTTTACATAAACGACTTACCATACCAGTTTCAAAACATACTTGACATAGTATTGTTTGCTGATGACACATCACTTATTTTCAAAGTGAAAAGAAATACAAAGGATTTTAATAATATAAATATTGCTCTTGAGGATGTTCTAAACTGGTTTACATCAAATAATCTAGCGCTTAATTCAATGAAAACAAAATGTGTTAAATTCTCTTTACCAAATGTAAAACAAGTAACGACAACTGTTAGTCTGAATCATCATGTTTTGGACTTTGTTGATGAGACTTCGTTTCTTGGTATTGTAATAGATAATAAATTCCAGTGGGGTCCACATATATTCACATTAGCCAAAAGACTAAGCTCGGCTGCTTTTGCTATCAGAAAAATTAGACAGTTGACTGATACTGCAACAGCGAAACTAGTGTATTTTAGTTACTTCCATAGTATAATGTCGTATGGTATTATATTGTGGGGAAGAGCGGCTGATGTAGAATCAATTTTTATATTACAAAAAAGAGCAATTCGTTCAATATATAATCTACCGTGTCGCGAATCTCTTAGAGAACGCTTTAAAGAAACAGGTATCCTTACTGTTCCCTGTCAATATATATATGAAAATATTATGTACGTACGCAAAAACTTAAATTTATTTCCAAAAAATAGTCACTTACACGCTTATAATACAAGGAATAAAAATAAATTAAATATGCCTAGTTATCGTCTCAAAAAAGTAAGTACATCTTTCATGGGACATTGTATACGTTTTTATAATAAATTGCCAGATAGTGTTTTAAATTTAAGTGAAGGCAAATTTAAGATACATGTAAAAAAAACACTTTGCTCTAAAGCTTATTATAAAATAAACGACTACTTAAATGACTACAATGTGTGGACTTAATTACAATTTTAACTTTTGTTATGAGGCATATAATTTTTCCCATTGACATGGATAATGTAATAACATTAAAGAAACTTATTATAAATGATTTTTTATAATTTGTAATGACATATTGTAAATTAAATAATGTAAATTTAATATTGTAATGGGTGAAAACTGTGATCGGTACAGCCTATGCTGTAAATAATATAATTGACGTAGTGGAGTAACCTGAAACAGTCATGCTCGCTATAAAGTTCAAACTTGTGGCGGCGTGGTGGGCCGGGTCGATGTGCTCCCTCAAATATGGTTGAGTACAATGATGGCTGGCTCATACGTCATACTCGTGAACGGGTGCTATTTGTGGGGACTGGTCTGTTCAGGTTGTGAACACTGATTAAATTTTTTATTCTTTGCGATAGCATATGCTGGTGGTCACTCTATTCTCCCAAATTTGAATTTTAAAAACTATATTTATTATAAACATGTTCCACTATTATTTGAAAAAAATACGAGCTGAGTTTCTTGTCAGTTCTTCTCATCTCGATATCATTCCGAACTGACGGTAGATTTGACATATCATAAGAGTCTGTAATAGACCTACATGAATAAAGATATTTTGAATTTGAATTTGAATTTGAATCGGCTTGTTTATCATAACATTCAATCGATTACATAAAAAAAACGCTACTAGTCATATGAATTTTGATGTCAAAGTTTTTTTTTGTTTACGGTTCAATATCAAAGCAACGGCCAAAAAGCGATACAGCTAACATAATTCTTGTTAACATTTATTAATTTAACACATAACTAAAATCGGTCGATTTCCCTAAAGGGTCATTATTCAATATTTACCCTCGATTTCTAACTTTCAATAACTTATCGATTCGTTGAAATATGAAACATTTTTTCGCTCGTGCCAGCCAATTGGTTGGAAAATGTATATTTCACTGGGGAGGTATCCAATATCGCGTCGGCAGATATTTATATTACACGAAGTAATGTAATATATGTACATACATCTGTCTGTACTTTTAAAATATATGTTTATAAACATTTATGTATAAGATTAACATGCAATATCAGTCTTTCCTAATGTAATACAATAAAATTTCATACACTTGATACTTAAAACTGCATAAATAGTTCACCGCTCGTGTTTTATTCCTGCCCAAACAAATCTAGTAGAGCCTGCTAGTGCAGCTTTAGATACACATTCTAGTATAAAAGTTACTGTAATTCTAGACAGGCCAAGATCTTTTAAAAGGTTATAGAGACATTTCGCTGGTATACCTCTTGCTATCATGAATCAATTTTTTTTTAATCAATTTTCAGTAATTTCTTTGTTTTATTTTTTTGTTTACACAATGTAGCATCTTGAATGGGTCTATATAAATATACTTTTAATTTTGTAAATTTAAACTATACAAAATTAAAAGTATATTTCGAATTATAATGATTTACCAAATATTCTTGTTTTGTTTGCATTACACAATTATACTTTTAATTTTGTCAATTTTGTGCATGTTTAACTTTTTTATTTTGTTTGCAGGTAAGCAACAGTACTTGGCTATGAAGGTGTCATAACAACTGATAACGTGAGTATTCGATTTCATAATTTGCAGTTGTGTGCAGTTTGGTTATCACCACGTCCTCGAGTTTTGTCACGCAATGTAGAAGGGATCTGTTGGGAATTACAGCCCGTATTGTATTTACATAATCGTAGCGCTTGAGAAGGCGTCTGACATATTGTTATTGATTTATATTCTAGTGTTACATCATGTGTTTTTGACAAAATATTAAACAGAAGGGATTCATTTATGGTTTTAAATGGAATAGCAAACTATATGGTGAGCCGTTTAAAGACGACCGACAAGTAAAAAAACTTGGCTATTCAAACGTGCTTATATTAAGTTTATTTTCTTTCCAAATTAATTGAAACTTAACTAGGCTACATTACTTGCATTACTTGTTACTAGTGTTAGTAATTGGTTATTAACATTTTCATATATTTATTATGGTAAATATGAATGTTTTGAATTAGTTTCTGAATTAGCATATCTATGATATTAATTAACTTGTACTAATGTTGGTTGACATAGCTGCTACGTACGTATTATGAATATAATTTTCTCAAATGAATTTAGACTAATATATAATTATACTATA